ATAAAATTTTATCCCGAACCGAAACCGTACCGTTTCAAACGGGTACGAGACCGGTCCAAGATTTTTAGAACCGAAAAATACCGGACCGAACCGTTCAAAAATAATGTCTTTGAGATTTTTTTTTCCATACCCATAAGTATCTTTTATAGACCAACAACTTTATAGCCCAAGTATGTATTCATGCATCCCTAAAATAGCTAAATGTGTGTTATATAAATATTACAGAGTATTATTTTTTCTTTTTAGATAATTAATTTATGTTATATTTGGTATATAATGAAAGAATGACAAAGTTTTAAAAAATATTAATGACTATTAATTTCTAGTAATACAAAGTATATGACTTTTGTTGTATCATATTTGTGCAGTTTTATAACTTAATTAATATGGTTTGAATCATAGCTCTTACGGTTCAACTATGAACTACAGAGTTTTGCTAGGTGCACACAAAATGTGTACACATGTCTGTCCTTCACAGAAATTTTGTCTGCCACAAACAAAATTTCTGTGAAGGACAGACATGTGTACACATTTTGTGTACCCCAAGCATTTTTCATGGACTACATTAGAATTAGTATTCAACTTAGAACAAAGAAGAACATTAAATATTTGTGTTCTGTTCAATAATTTAATGATATTTTTTATATGTTCTCGTGAATTTAATAAAGCTGATATTATACGATTGTATATTGTCATTTTGCTATATTTTTACTAAATTTCTTTCACTATTTGAGTGTTTTTGAATTTAAATACAAAAATGTCAACCTCTTGAATCTTTTCTAGTATTTAGTATGCACTTTCTTGCATTTTTATCAAAATTTCACGTCAATTGGCCTGTGTGATGTATCTACTAATTGCAAAATTTGTTCAAATGTTTGGGCATGTGTTTGGCATTGTACCGAACCGTTTTGTACCGTTCCGAAACGACATGGTACCAAATGGTTCTATCCTTAGAACCGTACCGAACCGTTAGAAACCTCACGGATACATAACGAGTTTTGCTAATTTACCGGACCGTTCCAAACCGCGCCCACCCCTAGTAATTATCCCAGAATCCAAATTCCAAAAACAGATTTAGGCCTATATTTAGTTTTAGGCCTAAAAAGTAGTATACTTTTAGCATTATTTATATGATATATACTATTTAGTATACATAATTTAGCATATATACTTATTATTCTTATATATAAAAAGTTATAATTCATTAATAATGTTACGGATCGGGTAACGGTGCAGGTACCCGCACCATTAGTGAACGGGGCGGTTTGGGGGCGGATAACGGGGCGGATTAGTATAGAACCATAACCGCACCATTAACCATTTAAAAAATTCGGGTATTCCCCGCCCCATATCCATTATATTCCCCAGTCAAACCAGTTTTCCCCAGTTTGACCAAATCGGTTCGGTACGAGTATCCAACGGGTCGGCCAAAATTGTCATCTCTAATTATAAACTTCAATAAAAAGGGTTGTAGAGCAGGGTGAGTGTTTAGGAAGATCAAAAATAAATTAAACCAGAGATCAAACCGAAATTATAGATCTCGATTCTGTTTTTTTTTAGAGGAAATTTTTTAATTAATATTAATCAAATCGTTGGCCAAAGTCGAAACAATGAAATCATGAGGAAAATCAACCCACAACTGCATATCAGACAAAGAACAAGCCGCCCTAGCTAACAGATGAGCTGGCTTATTCGCTGATCTCCATGAAAAAATGAAATGAACGAAAATGAATCCGCTAAATCTCTAATGTCGTCTCTTAGAAGTCCCACCAAAGAACAACTTGACCCTTCTTGGATCTCCGCTACTGCCCCAACCGCATCAGATTCAATTTCTGCCGAGGTGATTCCATAGTCCTTCAACCAGCTCAACGCCTCCCGAATGCTCACAAACTCGGCTCCCAAAGCTGTCAGCACTCCTGGCCAAGGTTTTGAGGCCCCTACCACCAAATGACCTTCCGAATTCCTCAAGCACCATCCTAGTCCGCACCGGTCCGACCTTGTCGCCGCGTCCACATTTAGTTTCCATCTTCCTTGCTCTGGTCTGTTCCAATTAGCCCTCCCCTGCAAGCTGGCCTGCAGGCGCCTTCCCCTTTGAGCCTACCGCTGAGCTTGCTGCCAGCGTTTGACCTGCGCCCGGCCGCGGTGAACAGCCTGCTCCGCCGAAGAAGTCATCCCCTGCCACACCCTCTGGTTCCTTTCTGTCCATAACGACCAGCAACCCCAGATCAATTGCTCCAGGTCCATCATCTTCCTCCTCTTGAACTCCTCGTTGAGCTGCTCCAAAAAAGTCAAATCCCCCGCCGAGCTCCATTGCCATCGCATCGCAGCCCAAAAGTTAACAACAGCTGGACACGACCTGAACAAATGCTCTAGCGTCTCAGGCTCCGCTCCACAAAGTCCGCATAGACCCGAGCACGGCACTCTTCGAACCTGCAAATTAATCCGCGAAGGAAGACAGCCGCTACAAAACTGCCAAAAGAAAATTTTTATTTTAGGTGGAATATTGAAATTCCACATAGCCGTCCAGAGCATCCCTGGCTGGTTGCCCACCTCCTCCTTCAACCGTCTATAGCAACTCCTCACTGAGAACTGCCCGCTTTCCTCCCACCTCCAGCAAATCGAGTCCGCGATCATGGCCCTCCTCAAGGGAATGCCCCTTATAAGAGCCGCATCTCTTTCCCCAAAAATATCATTAATTATATCACTATCTCACTCACTCCGGTCGGTGCAAAAAAGATTAGCCACCCTTGCCTCCTCTAATCCTTCATATTTTCCTGAGATAACACGAGGATTTTCCCTGTCCGGAAGCCAAGGCTCCTCCCAAATATTAATAGAATGCCTGTCGCCAACTCTCCAATAATAGCCCTCCTGAATCACTTGCTGTGTATGAATAATGCTTCTCCAGATAAATGACGGGTTATTCCCCAGTTTAGCGGTCAAGAAGCTCCCCTTGGGATAGTACCGAGCTTTAAAAACTCTCCCCACTAGTGATTCAGACTTCGTAAAAAGTCTCCAGGCCTGTTTAGCTAGCATAGCAATATTAAAGTCCCTGAGTCGCTTGAACCCCAAACCGCCAGCTTTTTTAGGTACACATAGGGCCACCCAATCCTTCCAATGAATTCCCTTACCTGCCTTGCCTTTCCACCAATATGCATTCATTAAAGTTTCAATTTCCCGACAAAGGTCAACAGGTAAAAGGAAAACATTCATAGAATAAGTAGGCATGGCCTGAATAACAGCCTTTAACAGAACTTCCCTCCCCGCTTTTGACAAAAATTTGTTATTCCAGTTATTAATGCGGTTGACAACTCTTTGTCGGAGATAGCTCAGAATATTTTTCCGGTTCCGCCCTACAAGAGCCGGTAATCCCATATATCTCTCCTCCTCACCCGCCAGCCCAACTCCCAAAAGATCAATAAGACCGGCCCGGTGATCACTCGCCACATTAGAACTAAAGAACACCTTAGATTTATTGTAATTAATTACCTGTCCAGATGCTCCTTCATAATCGGCCAGACTCTCTTTTACCAGGGAAGCTTCATCATGATTGGCTCGAAAAAATAACAGACTATCATCTGCAAAAAATAAGTGAGAAATCATAGGAGCCCCCCCGAGCAATAGACACGCCATGCAATCTGTCCATCTTCTCATATCTGCGAAAAACAGCACTAAGACCTTCTGCCACAAGGAGAAAAAGATACGGGGAGAGAGGATCCCCCTGACGTAATCCCCTTCCCGGCGCAGCAAGATCTATCATTCCATCGTCAAAAGGAATAGAGTAAGAAACAGATGTCACACATTCCATAATCAATCCCACCCACTTTTGATCAAAGCCCAAATTTTTCATCATTCCTTCCAAAAAAGGCCATTCAACCCGGTCATAGGCCTTGCTCATATCCAATTTGAGCCCAATAAACCCCACCTTTCCTTGCCGTTTGCATTTCAAGAAATGTTGAGATTCAAAGGCCAACATAATATTATCAACAATAAATCTACCCGGAATAAATGCACTTTGTTGTTCAGAAATGCACAGGTGCAGAATATGTTTCATGCGATTAGCCAACATTTTGGAAAAGATTTTATAATGCACGTTACAAAGTGCAATGGGCCTCCAGACACTCATACTCTCCGGGATTTCAGTTTTGGGGACAAGCACTATATGAGTATGGTTAATATGATTCGGGAGCTTACCAGTCTCAAATGAATGCTTGCAAAAATTAACAATGTCTGGTCCCACCACATCCCAGAAATGTTGATAGAAGCCCGGACTAAATCCATCCGGCCCTGGAGATTTGTCAGGAAACATATCAAAAACTGCTAACTGGGCCAAGAAGAACGGTATTATGATCAGCATCAAACCGCCGCTCAACACAACCAAACACAAAGTCGGCACTACCCCTCCCTGCAGTAAAGAGATGATTAAAATAATCTCCAATTAATCTGCCGACCTCACTGCGATCTGTTTCCCACCTACCATCTGCGGCCCGGAGACCTGCTAACTGGGCCAAGAAGAACGGTATTATGACCGAATTATGGAAATAACGTGTATTTAGGTCCCCACCCTGAAGCCAGAACTCCTTCGCTCTTTGTCTCCAGTATACATTTTCCTTCTCCAGCAATTCAAGATATTCCTTCTTGACTTTATTAAATTCATTCCTATAAATAATGCCCAGCGACACTAATGTTACTCCTTTTATCTTGCCCGGTCTAACAATTACGAACAATACGAAGTATATTTGTTCTACACCAAGAGGAAGGTACTTTACATAAAAAATCTAAAGAGAATACATACGGCGTGGACCCTGTCCCCTCCAATATTTTCTTTTTAACTGAGAATATGAATACGTAAGTTTTTCATTGTGAGAATGAGAATCCACATACCTGTTATATAAGAACAAAGTGAAATCAAAATAGGTATCTCTAATACTAATTACTAAACCGACTATCTCTACGGACTTCAAAAAGTCAACAAATCGTCAAATCGGCTATTCTAACTTGTGCAAGTATTCAAAAATAACATATAGATGCAATAGAAACAAAAACTAGGTTAAGCGCGACTGCATAATTCCAAATTCCCAAATTGTGCCAACTGATGGCCAAGATTCCAGTCTCCATCTTAGGCAAGAAGATGGCAATTGTTTTGAATATGAACATCAAGCGCGATATTAGAATTCTCAAACCAAAGAAATATACATTGTTGAACCAGTAAATTACAAATCAACATCTAGATGAAATTCATTAGAATAAGACACGTGTTTTGATGAAAACTATTTCGACTTTTGGGGAGGCACGTGGAAAATGCAATATTTCCTTGATAGTTTTGAGATTGAATTCTCTTCCAATGACAAACTTCTTAAGTGTTGGGAAGCATGCAAGTAACCCCTTGATCCCAAAGAGCCACAAATTACTATTCCATAAGTAGGGGCCACTCAAAATCAAAGTGTGAAGCAAGTTAAGTGTTTGGGCCACACGTAAAAGCTCCCCTGAAAGTTCTGATGGCGTACCTAAACAACCTTCCATGTCTTGAAAAAACTACACAAAAGCAAACAAAAAATGAACACATCAATCACTAAACTCACAACAGACATGCATTAACGAATGTCAGATAATTATGGGAAGAACTAGAAATTTTAAGACTTATTTATCCCCAAAAAGAAGATTACCGATACATCTATACAAAGTTTGGACAACTTTGGGCATAACTGCAGGACACGAATGAATGCAGGAGAAATATCATGCTCTACTATTAGAAGCGAATCAGGGTCGCACTTTAGCGGGTCTTCAAGCAACATCAAGTATTCCACGTATAGTAGTTGAAGTTGAGATGAATGTTGTGGCGCCCCCCTTTTAGTAAGAGGTTCAAAAAAATTCTTGGAAAGGAAAGAAATATGTTAAGTTAGATCCCTTACTAAAATCATTTTAAATAGTAAGGTCATCAAAAGGGGTATAGCGAACATACATCGATTGAGTAACCATCAAGAACAAGAGTACGAACAGATTCCCATGTCGAGTATTTAACTGGAATATTGACATTGGTTTGGTGATAGGAACAACCTTGAAATGTTAGCGTACTAAGTTTTGGAGCAGTAACGTTAAAATGGAACAAAGTTTCACGACATGCTACAAATGACAGATTTTCAAGCATGGGAGCGTTAATTGTATGAACACTACGCTCAAAGTCAACGTTTTCAAAAAAAAGTGAAGTGAACTTTGGTAAAATGCAAGGGGAACTTATTGTGTCATAAGACGATCCACCAAGACGCAACCTCCTTAATGTTTGGCAGGAAAAGATGCAGTTTGGCAGTAAGAATCCATCTCGTGTATCAAAATTGAGCTGAATTTCTTCAACACCTTTTTGTGTGACAAAATTGAGCCATTTATAGATGTCAAATACTCGTGACCCAAGTGGTTCGAGGGAATAAACCTGAACTGCAAAGCAAAATTTGCGAATGGGTCCATTGTGATGCATCAGGACTTTGTTGATTATATACATACTCTCAGAGACAACCATATCAATCTTAGGATTCTTATATATTGCTTTCCAGGTCCATCTATCACTATCATCATAGTACGCATCATACTTTTCTCTTATGTGACAAAAGAAGTAAAGATCAAAGTCGAGTTTTGTAAGACTGAACCAAGCATCTTTCCAGAGAGTAGACAAAACAGCCAATCTAGCTGCGTACAAAATGGGCATGCATCCCAAAATCTTGTCAAGTAAATCAACCGGAAGCTCACTGAATCTATCTCTCCTTTTCCTTGCCATAATCTAAGTAGCACAGATAGATGAAAATTAAAGCACAGATATGTTAAGCATAACCCCAAACTGAATATGTCAATCGTGAACATGAATATCAGGATCAGGAAGAGATAAAAACAGATCTTGAATCTAAAATCAACACCTACTATTAAAATATTGAGTTTTAAGTACATGTATTACGAAAATTACTGTATTTAGGATGCGAAATTTGCAAACCTTATCTTTCAATTCAAATATTTAAATTGGTAATTCCATCCACTGAGTATACATCAAAGAGAGCTACTTTAGCAGAGTTTAGCAGAGTACTCAAAGTGTTTCTACACACCCGAGCTTATGCTGGATGCGGAGAGTGATTCCGGACGACAGATTGACAGAACCGAAGAGGGCTCTACCCAAAAATGTGAGGGAGATGAAGAATGCATTTCTCAACGAATAGGGGTAAATTGAAAGGTCCTATATATACCAATTAAAGTTATTTCTCAAAATATACTCGAAATACTTTATTTAATTATTGTCTAAATAACCGTGTCGTTTTCTTATGGGAACCTTTCAACGGGACAGAGATAGTATATAATATAAGAGGTTAATATTGATAACTGTTACTACCTCTGTCCCTGAATTTACTTCCAAAATAAAGTGGCACGTGGATTAAGAAAGTGAGAATTGTTTGGTGAAGAGTTGTGCAGAGGAAAGAAAAATGTTGTGAACCACAAATTCTTTACCAAAAAGGGAATGTGAGGGTCTTTTTGGGACGGACGAAAAGGGAAAGTTGGAAGTATTTTCAGGGACGGAAGGAGTATATTTTTTGTTTTTTGTAAGGGATAACCGTTATATTATAAGTATCATAATTTTTTTTAATATTTAATGATTATAAGTATCCTGCTTGCCTTTCTTGAAGGGTTGGGTTATCCTTGTTGGATAACTTGCATTTTTGTTTCCCTTTGTACAGGTTTGAACCCTTGTCCTTTTGGGTGACTTTTTAATATACTTATATTTCATCCAAAATAAAAAGATGACCTCCCACATAAGTGGGGGACACCCCATGTTTTTTTGTTCTCAAAGTCAACTTGAGGCAACTTCCATCATTTGCAATGGAGCCAAAGATTCATTATTTTTTGGCTTGAGATTATGATGGAATAAAGCAAAATGGCTCACTAAACTGTCTACGCTTCTCTGTTATGAAGCAGCAGTCAGTCCATGCAATTTTGGACGTGATTTTCACTATGGGTCATCCGGAAACAGTCTCTCTACGCTTTAGTACATGGATAAGACTACGTACATTCGACCCCCCCTACCTCACTGTAGGTGGGAGCCTTTGCGGCACTGAGGTAAATGTAAATGAAAATAAAAGTGAAAGTCAACTTGAGACAACCAAATAATGCTTGAAGAGAGGGTATGGGCTAGAGATTGGAGGGTTGGGTGTGAAGAGACTTGAGGTGGACCTCCCTTCCACACTCATTGGTCTATTGAGACAAAAAGGACATCTCCCCATCCTCTTGGTTCATTATTTTGACCAAGTGCATAAGGGGAGAGAAGCTCTGCAACTTTCACCTCCATAGCTAAAAGCTTGAGCCCAACGGCCCCAATGACATTTTGCCGAAAATGTATATCAAGCAAAAACATCCTCCTCCTTGGGGATTAAACCATTAAATAAAGTAGCATTCCGAGTCCTCCAGATCCAGTATATGGAGTAGCAAAAGGCAATCCTAGCCGTCTTAACCTTGATACCAGCTCCCTGCCGCATCCTTTTGATCCATCTCATCGAGCTATGCAAAGTCCTCATTTCCCTTGGAATTTCCAGCCACCTTTTAACCCTGTTCCAAATATTACTTGAAAAGGGACACATAAAGAAAAGGTGTGGTACCGTTTCCGGACCACCCTTACAAAAAGGGCAAATATTAACAACATCTAATCTATACAAATTATCGCACGTAGCAATGCGATTACGAAAAGCTAACCAAACCACGAAAGAGAATTTAGGAGGTATATAGTTCTTCCAAATGAAAGACATCCACCGATGAGGTTCCCCCTAATTTTGAGGAGGTCATACACCTTAGAAGAGGATAGTTTACCATTGGTTTGGCAGCCATTGAGATAAACAATTGCATCATAAGTATTGTCAAAATGGGACAAAATATGATCTCTGATCAAAGCAAGCTTCTTGATCAGTTGGGAGTCCCTATTATGCGGTGTGAACTTCCAAACATCTCTACCATTAAGATAGACGCCATGAATCCACTTCACCCAAAGATTATCTTTTTTGATATGGATGTCCCATAGAGTTTTAGCCAGGAGGGCTGAGTTCCAAATATGAGTGTTATGGATACCAAGCCCACCTTCCTCTTTAGGAAGACAAATATCCGCCCAAGCCACCCTAGCATACTTGCACCCCCAAAGGAAGATACGACAGATATAAGTGATTCTATCCGGTACAACCTTAAGAATAGGGAGTGCTTGTAGCCAGAAAGACTGAACACCTTGAACGACCGACTTGATAAGCTCAACTCTACCAGCATAAGAAAGAGATTTAGTATTCCAAGCAGTAATATAGTTGGTAATAGAGTCAAGTAAGGGCGCATATTGCGCCACAGAAATTTTAAGAGGTGCCAAGGGTATCCCCAAATATCTGACCGAGAAGGTACCCTCCTTAAAGTCAATCATATCCAGGATGTATGCAAGGTCATGACTGGCCAGACCACCAAGGAAAATATTAGACTTCTCAAAATTTACCATAAGTCTAGAAGCCTTCCCAAATTCGTCCAAAGCATCAATGAGCACTTTAATAGAGGGAAAGTCCCCTCTAGAAAAGAGCATAAGATCGTCCGCATAAGCAACATGAGAAATGTTAAGCTTTCTACATTTCGGGTGGAATTTAAAAGAAGGATCCTTGGTCCTATTATGAAGAAGCCTAGAAAAGTACTCAAGACAAATAACAAAAAGAAGGGGGGACATAGGATCCCCTTGTCGAAGTCCCCGCTTTCCTTTGAAGTTGCCATGAAGAATCCCATTAATGGAGATGGAAAAGGAGGATGTAGACACACACTCCATAATCCAATCAACAAAGCGTTTGGGGAAACCAATAGTCAACAAAATATTAGTTAGAAAATCCCACAAGATGGTATCATAGGCTTTCCTAAGATCCACCTTGATCATAGATCTAGGAGACATATGCTTCCTAGAATAGCCTTTAACTAAAATATTGATCATTCTAGTCAAAATTTATCATTGTGGAAAGAATGTGATAAATTTTTTATTAATTAATTGTTTTTGTGTTTATATCTCTTCTGGCATCGTGTACGGGTGACACTTTGCTACGAGTGGCAACGGGTCAGGTTTATACCGGGTGAAGACTCATCCACGTCCACCCATTAATTTTTCATATTCCACTCATCCGTCCATCATCCATTAAAAATTACATCCACATCCAACACATCCATCATGAGGGGGTTATCGGGTGGATCGGGTGACCAACGGGTGCATATAAATGGTCTGAGAGGGTGTCTCTGAAAACTTAACCTGGACAGCTTCGGCGGCTGCAACCTGTGCCTGGAGGGAGTCCACCTTGACCCGAAGCTCCCTAAGCTCAGTTTCGAGCTTCTCGCGCTCATCAGCGAACACCTGCCGTTCGACCTCAGCGGCCTGGGCAGAAGAAGAAGAAGAAGCGTGTTCGGCATTTTCCCTTGCCACGATTAGCTCCCTCGCCTTGATCAGCCTTGCCTCACGAAGCTGAAGACTGTAAATCCCCATCTGTGCATGATCGATCAATAGAAGAAAGATTAGCACTCAATGTGAAATAAAACTTGGAAGCAAAGAAAACACGGGAGAAGAAGTACCTTCATGGCAGTCAAGGCTACACACTCCTCAGCCCGCTCGATCGGGAGGTTCAGGAGGGGGAAACCATTAAAGAAAGCAGCGGTGGACTAGATTTGGCTCGCAGAAGAGCCTCCCCTTTCCATCACTTCGTGAGCAGGATCTTCGAGGGAGATCCGCTCAAATTCTCTCTCCAATCAGGACTTCCTGACCGTAAATGCCGTTCAGTTGAGACAATTTGTGGGCCTTCCTGAAGAAATTTTCTAATGAAGTTTTTTTTAGGAATGTTCATGATAAAGTATACTTTATACGCAACAAGTTTCAGCTGAAATCTCAACCGGAGAGATAGTCAAATAACTTTTTGAAGATAACTACGCCAATATAATTTTTAACTTGAGGCTTATCTAGTACCAGAGCCACGAGGGTAAGAAGTTTAATTTAATAAGTTACGTATTTACAGGGATGGATTTAGGGGGGGGGCGGGGGGGGGCCTTGGACATTCAATTTTTTTACCATATATGTAATATTTTCATAAAACTTTCATAATTTAATGATATTCCCCCCCCCCCCTCCCTTAGCTTTTAATTTTCAAAATTAGTATATAGTCTTACATAATGTAATACTTAATTGAAGATTTAAAAGAAGAAACATCTAAAATAATTTACATAACTTAAACAAATAAACAATAGAGTAACTCGTTATTTAAGATTTAGGATACTTATTATATAAGAATTCCTAGTTTTGTAATGTTTAATTATCTTTACTAGATAACAAGTACAAGATTTTGTAAAACATATATCAAACAATATTAAATACTAGACACACTAATTACACAATTTTTAGATCACGTGAAATGAATCCAAAATATAAATATTTATAGACATCAGATTACATAATTCATTTACTTCTTGCTTTCTAAAAATAATTTACTGCATGAATAGATGATAAACTTTAAATTATTATAGAATTAATAAAAAAATTAAAATATAATATGCACCATATATGTGTGTGTGTGTATGTGATGCATATTATTCTAAAAATAACAATCTCATACATACTAGTATACTACTATTGTAATATTAAGAAAACTTCTCATGAGTCATGACTCACGAACACCCTCCTTGGTGGACAAAAATTACAATTCAATAACTGATTCATGAGGTTAAACAATGTAGAAGTTATTAAAAATGTATTGGTTGATGTCTTTGGCATTGTCTAAACTTAGAATGTAATAGATTGAAATGCCGGTTGGGGATGTACAAGTATTAATGTCATTTTTTGAATAAAAATAGCCGCATAGCCCTACAGTAGCAAAAAAAATTCGCCCCGCTACACTAGGGGAAAAAATTTCACCCCGCTACACTAACAAAAAAAAAATTCACCCCCTACACTAACAAAAAATTTCGCCCCCCTTGACTCAAAATCCTGGATCCGTTCCTGCGTATTTAGATTGTCAAATTAATTTGAAGAATAAATGAATAATAGTTTCTGGGTAATAAGTCCCATGTTGAACCACACCCCCGAAGAGGGGATATGCGTTAATGCAGTAAATCCTTTGAAAGTTTCTTTGAGTTAAGGAGAAAATTTAATTATGAATTATTTATTCCATACAAGTTGTTC